AACCTTTTTCAAACCTATCTTTAGACTCTCATCTAAACTGAACAAAACCAAATAATTTTTGAGAACAAAAAATATGAAAATACTGAATCGGGAACATATTTAAACCAAATATGGCAACCTTTCCATAAACAGAGATGTTTTGTGTTACAAATTAATTGTTCCTAATTTCTGTATCATATTATCTGTCTACCTGTCTGTTGATGTACCCATTTTTTGGCTGTATACCTGTCTATATACCTGTCTATCTGCTTTTCTCTGTCTCTGCTTGTCTCTCTCCTTCCCTGCCTGTATATCTGTCTATCTACCTTTTTTGTTTCCATTCCTGTGTCTATTTATCCCTCTATCTATATTTTTATTAGTTACCCCTGCTATTTCTCCTTTCCGTTTTCTTCCTTACCTCTCCCATTCTCAATCGCTTTCTTCCGCTTTCTATCTCTCTCTCTCTCTCTCTCTCTCTTATTTTCCCTCTTATTTGTTCTTATAATGTCTTCAACACTCTTTTTCTCAATGATAATAACGAGACTATTTGGCCTAGTCCTTCTAAATTTAATTTATATATTTTAAGTATAAATATAATTGTTCTATTAACTAGTCCTCCGTTTTCTTTGGACAAAACCATAACAGATATAAAAACATTTTTACACTTTGCGCTTTTAACACATCAGGTATTTTAACCTTATCTGACATTTACACCGCTTAAAACGCAGTTCAAGCTGTATTCATTTATCTAGATGCATTTTATGGCCTTTCTGAAAGCGAAAAAAGTTTCGTCTCTTCCTTTTTTTATTTTATTTATGCAAATCCGCCATTTACCAATGCGTCGTGCTCTGTGACCTCTCGCCTTCATGGTTAGAGATGTACTGAAGGTCTGCGATTTCTAAAGCGATTTGCCGGGTTTTTCAGGGTTTCGGACACATCTGTTTTTGTCCGTTTTACTTTGTTTGCAGAAAGTTGCGGGGTTTGAAGCACACGCATGCTCTCTCTCTCTCTCTCTCTCTCTCCTCTCTCTCTCTTCTCTCTCTCTCTCTCTCTCTCTCTCTCTCTCTCTCTCTCTTCTCCTCTCTCTCTCGTGTCTGGTGTGTGTGGTGTGTGTGTGTGTGTGTGTGTGTACACACATACATACATATGCATGCACAAACACACACATATATATATATATATATATATATATATATATATATATATATATATATATATATATATATATAGACACACATACATATAAACACATACACAACACCCCAATTTCAGCCTACCTTGTTTGCGTTCGCCGATGGAGGAGACACAATCAGGTCACTTGATACTCAAAAACCGTGTCAGTTTGCGATGGTCTTTAATGTTGCTTTTAAGTATGTTTATTTCCGTACCTGTAAATTAGACTGATTAGCGTGTGAAATGAGGGTGCATGTTGTAAGAAATCAGATTTTTTTAAAAGGTCATAAGAAATGGAGCAATGTAGATGCATACATTTCGTGCTTTTGAAACTGTTGTCCAGGTGTTTTTCTCTCTTCTCTCTCTCTCTCTCTCTCTCTCTCTCTCTCTCTCTCTCTCTTCTTCTTCTTCTCTATCTCTATATCCCTATCTCTCTATCTATCTCTATCTCTTACTCTCTATCTAAATTGAATGTATTTTTTCATAAAATAAGAATTTATTTCATATATTTTGGCAATTAGTAAATTTTGCAACAAAACATATATTTGCTGCAATCGTGAATCTTTGCACAAGGTTGAAGATCAAGGTCACAGTCAAGAAGAAAACGAATTGCTTAAACATCCACCTGAAATTAAATATAGACGATTTGAATCACAGGTGTCTTTCATAGTAAAACTCTAATTGAAGGTTTTATAGAAATTGAGCAATGTAAGCACACATAGTTCCTGACTGAAACTGCTGTCCAGGAGTGACTTTCTCTCTCTCTCTCTCTCTCTCTCTCTCTCTCTCTCTCTCTCTCTCTCTCTCTCTCTCTCTCTCTCTCTCTCTCTCTAAGATAACAAAGATATATAAAACACACAAACAAAAGTCCTTGTAGAAATCACACAATAATTAAGATAAAATACAGCCCCAGACATTGAATAAGCAATCATACAACTACCAAATAATCAAATGAAAGAGAAGGGTAAAAAGAACATCATCTATGAATAATAATAAGGAATAAGTGAATATATTAGCTTTTTAATTCCTGATAGCTATGAATGGGAGAATGAACTACCAAAAGCTGAAAAGAGGGTAGTTCTGTAAAAACATTCATTTGAAGATTAAGGAAAGCTCGAGGAATGATTAACTTCGTCGCTCTGGAATGAAACCGCATAAAATAAAGAAGAATGATAAGGAATAAGTGAATATTTTTAATTACTTTTTAATTCCTGATAGATAGATAAACATCCCTCGGCAATCACAGACCTAACAAGTACCCTTCAAATGGTACTTGGAACAACGCACTCACACTTAAACAAGCACTTTGCTACTTTCTACTCCCACACTTCCTTCTTTTATCTTTCTCACACTCAAACAAGCGCTTTACCACTTCCTACTCACACACTTCCTTTCTGTATCTTTCTCACTCTTAAACAAGCACTTTACCACTTTTTATTCTCACACTTCCCTCCTGTATCTTTCTCTCGCTTCCCTCCATCACACTAACCAATCTTCACTTCTCATTGGATTATGACATGCTCTTGATTGTTGAAGTCAACTCAGCATTCAAGTCATGTCAATTATCTCACTTTCCGTTCTCTGACTTTGCGAACTGACTGTGACAGGTTATCGTGGTGTCAGTGAAGTGAAATGAAGCGAAATGAAGCGAAGTGTCTAAAGTGTATGTGTCTGTGTCATGTTAAAAAACACTTGCCTTTCAGTCCAATACTGTGATTGTTGGTTTCTCGTGCCTTGTGTATTATAGAAATGTACTGTACCGCGATGTGCTGAGTTTAGCTTTGTCGTGCAGTTTCCAGACTGTTTGACTACTTCTCGGGAAAACGCGTGGCGATGTTTTCTTGTACAGCCTTTCTTAAAAGTACTCGTGGTATCACTTCTATCATTATCTTCATTTTTGTTTTTTTATCATCATTATCTTCTTTATCATCATCATCATCACCATCTTCCTCATCCTCATCCTCATATTATTATTATCATTATCATTATCATCATCATCATTCCTCATTATCATGATACTATCATTGCTATCATCATTATTAGTAATCATGATCATTGTCACTACATCATGATAATTATCTTCACCATCAATACCATCACTGTTATCACTATTATCATTATCATTACTATTACTGCCAGCATTATCATCAATATAATCATCATTACTATTATCACCATAATATTGATAATGCTATCACCATTATCAGTATCATAATCGGTATCAGTAGTCATCATTCCATTATCATTATCATCATTACTATACCATTCTAGTATCAACCTTATTATCATTATCATTATGTTTATTATTCTCTTTATAATCATTACTCTTATCATACTTATATCACCACTATATCATTTATAGATAGAATAGTAAGGTGAGACCATTTTCAATCTTCAAAAGCTGTTGTAAAAAAACATATTCTGACTGAAAAATATCTACAAGTCTTTATAACACACAATCATGGGCATCATTATCATATTCATCATTATTATCATTATTACTCTCATACTCTTTTAGATCAATATTATGATCAATATTACATTACTTTCATATCCTCACCATTGTCTTAAGTATTTTCATCGTTACCACAACAACCATTACATTTCCCGTTTCCATAAATAGCATAAATTACCATACCATTACCATACCACACAAAAGAGAGATAAGAAAACAACCATAATTCTCATATACAAATATATTTGAGATAAGTAAACAACTGCAGATGTATAATACATAATGAAAAATAAGTTAACCTTTCCCTTACTTAGGAATCGTATGTACAAATTATACAACTTTGAGAAACACTTGAGTGCTTAAAAAAACCCTTCTTTTAGCAAAGGTTAGCTGACCCACACATAAGTCTACAGCCTGTGCCATTAATAAGCTTCTGAAAGGTCGTTCATTGTTAACTTTTGGAAATAGAAAACAGGTAAAATAGATCATCTATATATATATATTTCTAAGTTGGAATTATCTGAAGTTGGAATCGGTGGAGACTTGGAATGTGCTGGGGTTGAAAAAAAGAGAAAAAATGTAAAGTTTTTTCTTTTTTTTCTTTTTTGATGTCTTGTGTTAGCTAGAGTTTCCAGGTCGTGTATTTTTAGGGTCTTTTTCCCCTATAATGTTTTATATGACCTGTTCTTTTTTCTGTAGACATTTCACGTAGAAAAATTAAGCTAAATAACGCGTGATTTGTGCTTGGGGTAAAAACTCACTCATATATAAACATATATGCCATTATGAAATATACAAAAAAGGGAATATTTTATATATATCATTTCTATATATATATAAAACGAAATTAAAACAATACGAAAAATATTTCATAATCTAAGAGGACGCCATTTAACACAAAACACTATTTCCTATCAAGCAAATATCGACAATAAAATAAAAGGGTTAACGAAAAGAAGAGAAAAGACTAAATAAGAAAAATAAAAAACAGATTCAGTGTATCTCTTTCAGGTGGGAGGGGGGGGGGTGAGGATACAGGGGAGGGAGGGGGGGTAGAGGCGGGAAAAGCATGATATTTAGTCCTTCACTAAATATCACGAGAGACAGGAACCTCAATGTAGTATTATAAATAACAGCTGCTTCCTTTCTTCTCTTTCACTGTCTCTCCTTCCGACTCTTCTCTCTCTTTCTCCTTCTCGTCTCTCCTCCTCTTCTCGCTTCTTCACATTTTCATCATCGCTTTCTTTCTCTCCCATATCTGTCTCCCAACGCTTTATTCATACACTTCATCACAGCAATTGTACAGTGCAGTTTAAGCCAAGACTTGTATAATAAAAAGAAAGGTGAGCCACGTATCTTTCTTAGCTGAAACGAGGGACTATGCTCGCTCCACTTTTTCTTCTTCTTCTTCTTCCTCTCCTTCTCCTTCGTCTCCTCCTCCTTCACGCAAACAAACAAACAAAAAACCGAGGAGACGATAGACAGCCTATTAGCCATCCGTGACCCCAAAAAACGGGAAGATTAATGATCATCATCATCAATAATAATCTCCCACTGTATAAACAAAAATCGGAACTCTATAACACATCCATCTGGTGCGATTTTCTTTCCCCCACTCTACAACGACCACTTCCGAAGAGCGGCCGGACCCTGTTTGTTCCACTCCTCTCGAGTCACGCGGGACTGCACGAACCCAGGGGACTCGGCCAACACGCACGCACCGATATACGCCGCGTGGTATCGGTATGGCGAGGCGTGGACCTGAAAAACGAAGGGAGAAATGCGTGTGAATCGGAGGGGAATTTTAAGGTATTTTGGGTCCAAAATTTTGAGGAAGAATGTGGGTCACGTGTTAATTTAGTATCATTGTAGAATTTAGTATAGAGGATGCTAGCATTTTTTGTAAATAGTACTGATGATAAGGGTACTAATAAGTGAATGAATAAAAGATTAAACGATACAAAATTGAACTTAAACAATAATAATAGGGAAAAAGAAAGGAGAGAGAGATAACAGGGAGGGGAGGGGGAAGAGGGAAGAGGAGAGAAGGAGAGAGAAGGAAGAAGAGGGAGAAGGGGGAGGGGGAGAGGAGGGAAAAGAGAGAGGGGGGGAGGAGAGGGAGGGGAGAGGAGGGAGGAGAGAGAGAGAGAGAGAGAGAGAGAGAGAGAGAGAGAGGAGAGAGAGAGAGAGGAGAGAGGAGAGAGAGAGAGAGAAGAGAGAGGAGAGAGAGAGAGAGAGAGAGAGAGAGAAGAGAGAGAGAGAGAGAGGAGAGAGAGAGAGAGAGAGAGAGAGAGAGAGAGAGAAAGCGAGAGAACGAGGAGGAACGAGGAAAGAACGAAAAACAAACAAAGCAAAAAAAAAACGAAAAAAGAAAGAAAGAAAAATAAAAAAAAAAAAAAAAATCAACCAGCCCTTGCCCTCACCTTGGGTCTAATAGCAGGTGGTGTGAGGTTGTCGATCTCAGTGGTGAGTCTGTCCGTGAGGCCTGGAAGCTGTGTCACTCCTCCGGCCAAGAAGATGCTCCTGCTCATCTCCTTTCGGATGTCCATGCTGCACTCCTGGTGGAAGGAGGGGGGGGGGAGGTATTAAAATGTATAAATGAAGAATCTCGTTTATGGGAAAAAATGCTATTTAAACTCGTGTCCAATATAAATACTTTATTAAATGTTTTTGTTTATGTTTTTGTATATTTTTGTATTGTTTTGTGTATATGTTTTTTCGTTTATATCACTTTTGTATTTCTGTTATTGTAAAGCCAGAACCTCTATATATTTACATTGTCTTATAAAAAAACAAATATGAACGCCCGTCTATGTACCAACACTAACAAGTAAACATCATTAAATGCTTGGGTACCTATATAAAAATATAGACCACCCATGCCAAGTGCCTATTCCAGCAAGGAAACATTAACACATGCTTATATACCTAGACAGAAGAAGAAGAAGAAAACTAATTCATAGGGCAAAGGACGAAGAAGACTTACCATTATAGCCTTGTATACTAGTTTGTGGAGTCCAGGATGATCCAAACCCCAAGCGTCTGGGTTGAAGAGGCCTTCCGTGGCTTGGAACCGTCCGAAGTCGAGGGAGATATTTCTGAAAGCAAGCCAAATATTAGTTTTGGATTGTGATTAAATTACAATTAATCCACGTTGGGAATAAACCAAAGAAATGCGTTACAAATACATTCCTCTTGTTTTCGATCCTACTCTAACTAAAAAGAAAGAAAGAAAAAAAAAAACAGACACGCATTCGATGTAAACAAATAAAAGCTATTTCTGTTACTACTTAAGGCATCTGCTACTCACTCGTAAGGACAGTCCTTGCTGTGGAAGTATTCTGAGAGGGAGACGCCCTTCTCGAAGTTGTCAGGGTTGTTGGCGCAGCGGGCCTTCTCCGTGTTGTAGTGGTGGGCGCAATAACAGATATTCTCCAACACCTGTGCAGAAAAAAAACTATTAGTTAGATTTTTTTTTGTAGACATCAAGATAATTTCGAACACCTGTGCAGAGATTTTTGCAGATATCAAGATAATTTCGAACACCTGTGCAGAGAAAGGTGAAATTTGATTTCTTTTTTTGTAGATATCAAGATAGTTTCCAACACCTGTACAAAAAGAGGAATCATAGTTCGAATTCTTAAAACAGAATTCATAAATATAGCATTGAAATAGTGCAATATATACAGTATGTTCCATTCTTAGTCCCACTGCTCATCAACATACGGCAAAAATACAAGCCTGATTCCACCTCTCAATTCCCAACTCTTATCTCTGAATATAAGTGAAGGATGAACGGATGAATAAATAAATAAAAAAACTTACATGTCTGATGATATAACTCTCGACTTCGTTGATGAGGGAGACATTCCTCATGTACAAGAACTGGCGAAGGTGATCCAGTATCCTGTATCCTCCGTAGGGAACCCTTGACACACCGCCATCCACAATGTATCCTGCAGAGAGGAAGGGTGAGGTGATGAAGTAATTTGCATAAGGGAGATACGTATGGAAAGATAGATTCATTGGCTGATACATATGCATGCTATCATATATGTGGATGTAGTTACAGGAATACACAGATATAGCTATAGACAAGAGACACAGACAGGCATAGACACACATACACAGGCATAGACACACACATATGGCAGGCACAGATACATACATAGGGACAGCCACAGACACACACACACACACAGACACACACACACACACAGGCACAACACACACACACACACACACACATTTTCCACTATTCACACTCATCTCTCAACTTTCAACTCTTAACTCTTCTCTCTCCACTCCCCACCCCACACTCCCCATTTTTCTCTCTCCACTCCCACTCTCCACTCTCCCTCCCTCCCACCCACCACAGCCACCCCCCTAAAGACCCACCATCGATGACGGGCACGATGTCCATTCTCTCGCCGATGTCCACGACGATCCCGGACGTGGCGTTGTAGGCGTAGAGCGCGAGGATGGACTGGTGCGTGAGGTTGACGGACTTCACGCCGAACTTGTCGAAGAGGACCCGCATAAGCTCCGTCTGCGTGCTGGAGTTGAGGACGCGAGGGACGGACAGCTGCAGGTGGTAGTTCTTGGGGTCTACCCTCAGGTCGGCGAAGGTCTTCTGCAGGAGACTTGAGACGGCACTCAGGTCTACAGAGTACTGCTGTAGAGAGGGAGGAGGGTGTTAATGTGTTTTTAAGGAATTCTTCTAAGGGCATACAAGTGTTGTTTTTTTTTGTTCTATTTCTTTTTTCTATTTTCAAACGATTTTTTTTTTATTCATACGAGATTTTTTGTTCTTCTATTTTCTATTTTCATACAAGTTTTTTTTTCTTCCAGTTTCTATTTTCATACAAGAGATTATTTTTGTTATTTTTTCAAACAAAACCCTCTTAACACTTCGCAAAATAAATAAATACACAATAATAACGATAAAATAATCTAAATAATAATGATAACAAGAATGACAAAAACAGCCAAAACACAGTGGCTTCTAATCAAATTAGATGCACCACTGATTCTTTTCATATAACATAGCCTTTTTAAATCATATTTCTAAAACACCCAAGACTCAAGCCATCCAACGTAAAGAAGTCCCCTCACCTTCGTAATTTGTGCGAGGTCGGACGGGAACGAGATGGTGGAGGCAGCGGGACGTCGGCGTGAGGGCGTCGTAACCCCAGATCTGGCGCCGAGACTCGCGCTCCGTCGCCACCACCGAGGGAAGGAACAGCTGGGGCAAGGTGGCTGCGGGGAAGGACGGCAGCGTTAGTTTTTTTTAGTCTTGAAGTGGTATTCAATGGGGGGGGGTGATGTGCGGTTTGGTGTCTTGGTTAGGGTGGTATTAAAGGGAGTGGGAGTGATATTGGTTACTTATTGTGAAGCAAGTATAATAATATGGATATATGGCAGTAAATAAAACTAAAACAACATCAATAATAACATGAATAATAAGTATACATCAAAATAACACCAACAATAGTGAAAATAAGACAAATATGAAAATGAGCAACAACAATCCACTGGCTTATATACACAGTGCTCCAACACCCTCTGTCGGCATCAAAACTCACCCTGCGAGGCTAGGACGCCCGCCCTGACGGAGCAGGAACCCAGGTCAATGACAAGGGTGTCCCTGAGGAGCGCAGGGTCGTTAGGGACGGGCCAGGGCTGCACGTACTGGCTGGCGAAGTCCTCGACCGTGTGCGTCTCGAGGGCCCTGCGCCATCGCTCGGCCTCCTGGCGAGAGCTGCATCTCACCACGACGTAATGGCCCTTCTGCAGGAGTGACATAGAGGCGATTAAATACGGGTTTGGGGTCTTGTTTTTCGTGGTACCATTTATTTCTGTGTTGTCAGCTTCAGTTAGTAATCGTACATGATATATATACAATATTCTACGTATTTACAGCTACATGGAAATACTCTCTGGCTGAATATACAGTAAAACACAAAAGCAAGCTGGTTTTTATTAGTCACCCCATGAAAGTAAATCAAATATGTACACATTAGTCAAAAACCATTAAACGAAGCAAGCTCATTATATCAACAATAAACAAAGCATTGAAGCAAATATAAAATAAACACACAATAAAAGAGCGCAGAAACACACAAACAACAGTGAAGTGAACAACGGAACGAGGTGGTTCCAGTGTGCGGAAAAGCCAACACACAACACATACACAGACTTACCCCGTCATCAATACCAATCATGGCTCCAGACTTTGGGTCTCTGGTCTGTCGGACCGAACCGGGCAGACAGACAGCCACAGAGAACCACAGACAGCCACAGACAGGTGAGCAAGGTCAAGGAGTTGGAGGGTCGAGTTAGGGGATTGGAGGGGGGCAGGGAGGGGAGAGACGAGAAGACGTTAGTTAGTTAGCTAGTTAGTGGTTTGTTGTGGCAAAGACTTTAGATCTGTGAAACCCGTGTCTCCGGGTCATGGTTATAGGAATCTAATATTTCTTTGGTATCTCTGCATGACTGATGATCCAACTACAGTGTAAACCCTTCTGGTATATTCACATTTGCCATGGCTGATTGTTATTAAAGCAGTTAAATATAATACAACCTCTTTGTATATATACATACACTAAATATATTTTCAAACTGATATCAGCTGGTTCATTAATATATATATTTTAATATATCATAAATATTAGAAGGTAACAATATCTTTATAATCTACTTTTATAAAAGCAATGACGACCGATAGATCGCCCAAATCTACTGCAACTAATTGGAAATATTCATATCTATAAAGCATCAAGATCTACAACTCTAGCAATAATAACAACTACAAGAATAGACATTCTACGAAAAGCTAGGCAAATATACGTATACTTATGTAGT